TGTTCTTCGAGTGCTGTGAAAGCGGTTGAGAAATTCTTCCTCTAAGTGCTTCCAACTATCGATGGAGTTTGCCCCCAAATCAATGTACCAATCAAACGCATTGTCTTTGAGCGATCGGACGAATTGCTTGACGAGGTGATCTCCATACGTGCCGGCATCATTGCAAGTCTCCACGAAGTGTGCCACATGTTGCTTGGGGTTGCCTTTGCCGTCAAATTGTTGAAACTTTGGAGGTATATAGCCCATTGGCATCTTTAGATCATCGATCCTTTGCGTGTATGGCTTGACATAGGTTGATGGCGACTTCGAGCTTCCTTCCAACTTGTCTTTGATTGTTCTACTGATCAGCGTCATCACTTGATCTACATGAATCAGCCCTTCGGGAGAAACTTGAAGTTCTTGAGTTGGAGCCTTCTCGTTTTCAACTGGCTGTTGCTTTGTGGATGTCTCGACTTCGTCTTGAGCCTCTATCTGATTCTCCACAGCTTGACTAGCATCGGCTTTGTCCATCTTGTTGATCAACTTGGCAATTTGAGAATCTCGTTGTTGAACATGCTTTGCGAGTCCCTCAATGGTCTTTGTTAAACTTGCAATTTGCTCTTCCATGGTTGTAGCGTTTGTTGTTATGACGGATGCCACCTCTGAGTAGCTTGATGTTGAACGAGGCGTAGGCTGTGAAATCTCTCGTTTTGAACCTTCCACGTCTGCGCTTGTATTGACAAGAGGTGGTAAGCCTTTCTGAATGGTTTGGGGCGTCGAGCTAGTCTCTGAGGATGCTTGCAGCTTCTTAGCCATACTCCTTGTAACTAAGCCCACACTTGATGAATTCGAAGTAGCAGTCTTCATTGCGAACGTAGAGCGGTCACTGCAACACTTCGAGGATCTTGAGAGAGAGAAGATATGAGAGGTAGAGATGTCCCACCGGGCGTGCCAAAATTTGTAGCAACAAATTCTTATCTGCGATTTAGACAAACAAGAAAAACTTGCACAAAGATAATTTATTGAATTAAAATAAAATATTGCGGGTTACAAACTCTAATTTAATCCTCTGATTCTTCTCTCAAGAACAATATGCGTTTGACTTTGAATTTCGGAGTCGGGTCGTTGACTTGATCTTCTCCGGATTTGATTTGGATTTGAATAACGTCTTCCAAGGGTCTTGCGACTTGAATCTCGGATCGAACGCTGAACTTTGACGGGTTTTGACTTGAAGATCTTGGAGTTCTTGATGGATTTGGCCCTTCAATCTTCCTTCGATCTTTATTTGTTGAACTTTGACGGGTTTTGACTTGAAGATCTTGGAGTTATTGATGGATTTGGCCCTTCAATCTTCCTTCGATCTTGATTTGTTGAAGAACGCCCTCGATCTGATGAAAAACGCCTTGAATTTGTTGAAGAACGACTTGAATATTGTAGAGAGAATTTTCTCCTACGGTTTTTCTTCTTCTTGAGTTGTGTTTTGAATTGTGTAGAGAGGGTC